TCAGAGTTTTTGTTTTTTGTTCCCCCTTCCAGTTCATATTGACTGAGGAAGGCTTTTATAAAAGGGTTTTTCTGCCTTTAAGTTTGGTTAGCTTACTCTGGCAGCTTCAATCTCTAAGTTTGGTACTGGTTCTTTAGACCTGTTTCTTCTGTTGTCATTCCATGAGCTGTGATTTTGTGTTTATAGTGGTTTTAACCCCATTTCAACTTGGCTCAAAGGTAGCTAGTGAAGAGTTATGATATGCAGGTGTATCATATATTTTCAATCTGCTTTAGTCACATATATAGAGGTAGTTTTAGAAATTATTGCTTATTTAATTTGTATGCAATTTTAGCATAAATAATGGTCCAGAAAGTTGTTGAGGTTACCTTATTCTAGTTGCTTTGTTTCCTTGTTCTGTATAGTAAGTGACCTATGTTTTGTTTGAGAGGATATTGCAGTAACATATAGCATCCAGGTTGAAAGGATTTACTCTCTAATATCCTTAGCATTGACTAAATGCTTCAACCAACTAATCCTGTGAGAGAACAAAGGTCATACAATGGTGGTGTTGACTGGACAAAGAAATCGAACTTACCTGCTGAATTCAGGTGAACTTTCGTTGTTCCATATTATTGATTAAAGGCTTGCATCAAGATTGTAATTTTTAGTTCTATCGAGACCAATCCCAAAAGAAAGAAAGAAAGGTGTGGGACTAAGCCTAGCCTAGTAGAAGTGACTGTATTTCATACATACACTGTATTTTCCTTCTGGTTGTCAAATAATAAAATATTTTTTTAATTTTTACCAACTTTGTACGGTCTCATTATTTTACACACACACTAGGAAGACTGGGTTAAACTATCAAATCAGAATCATTCCTTATTTCTTGAATGAATCTGTAGTTATTAGTGAATCTATCTGATACCTGTTGGGAAATCAGTAGGGCTTAGTTGGAAATACGACAGAGTATAGGACTTTATGAGTTTATTCTTGGATAGTTGTGCTGGCTTTATGCTGCTAGTAACATGAGTGGAATAATTCATTCAATGTTTTTGAATGTACTCTTTTGAAACTTAAAAAAATAACACGATAGTAACTTACTAGTACTATTGTTAATGTTGTAATAGTTTTTAATTTGTTGCTTTGAGTCAGTTTCTGCTGTATGCTTATAGGCCACCATATATCTGGGATTTAAGAATAGTTGGTATTAATGCTACCAGTTTAGTTTCTACTCACCACAATGGACCTACATATATCTGGGATTTAAGAAAAGTTAGTATTAATGCTACCAATTTAGTTTCTACTCACCACAATGAACCTACATATATCTGTGATTTAAGAATAGTTAGTATTAATGCTACCAATTTAGTTTCTACTCACCACAATGAACCTACATATATCTGTGATTTAAGAATAGTTAGTATTAATGCTACCAATTTAGTTTCTACTTGCCACAATGAACCTACATATATCCTGGATTTAAGAATAGTTAGTATTAATGCTACCAATTTAGTTTCATAGATTAATGCTACATCCAGTCCTACATAAATGTAAGTTCAAAGATAGCATTAACACCATACACATAAATTACAGATCATATCACTATAAGAAGCCTAGTTGTTTTTTTCTTGTTCCAGGGTTACATAATGAGGGGTAGAATTATCAAAACTTGTTTAATTCAGTATCAAGTATGGAAGTGAATGATAGGCTTGACATCAAATTTTTCTTACTGAAATTTACAGGTGGTGGTGCAAGAAAATATTACATTGTCTTAAAATATTTATTTATTGAAATTGTCCCCATTTTTTTACGGTAATTGTGTAATGTTAAAATTACTAATACTCTAAATGATGTCAGTCATTTTGGAATTATTTCTGTTGCAAAGGTTAAAATAATAGGTTTACTCAACTATCCAAATGACTTGTTAAACACAAAGTACTTTATTGTAATATAAAACAAAAGTTGCGGTTATGTATTTTGTTCAGCTTTTCAAATCATTAAATCTGGTATTTATTTTATAAAATGTTTGACTTGATTGTTGGACGTGTACTAATATCTTATCCATGGCCTCACAGAGCTAAGCCAAACTAGAATTAGTATAGGAAGAATTATTTATAATGAGAGCTAGTATTTTCACTTTCTTTAGTTTTTTTATACAGTAAAGATTTTGTATGCTTAACAAAAATATAAAATTATATTTATTGATTTTTATAAAGAAACAAAATTGTGGTTCTTGTGATATGATTGGTAATGTAATTTTAATCAACATACCATGTAACAGAAGGGTTATTGTACATTGAAACACTTCGTAGACTAAAGAATAACAGGTATAATAGATAAATAAAAATATTTAATGTTACCAAATTTTTCTTTTCTATATCAATAACTCATAATTATGTTGAACTCGGTGGGGGGTGTAATACTAAAATTTTAAATAGGAGATACTCGTTTGATATTCAGTGTGTGTGTGTTTGACTCTTTAGTTGTAATGCCAATCAAGGATATTGGAGGTTAAGGTTATAGAAACTCGTAAGTTAAACTATGTAAATCCTGCTTTGTTTTCCACAGCTGTAGTTTTAGTAGATGTAATACTAAAAGTTTTTTTTTTTCTTTTCTAGGCCATGTTTTCACTTTTTGTATCAAAGCAGTCTTCTAGGTGAGTTGTTATTTATGAAAAATCAGAAATTGGTTCATTATCACATGAAAACTACTTGATATTGGACAGGATTTCCTAATGGATTATTTTGAAGATCATATTTCAGTTTTCTTGATAAAAAAAAATCAACTACAGGATTTAAAGTTTTTATATAAGAAGTTCAGCTTATTGTTTTTATTTTTCACAAATACTTTAGCCTTGAAGTTTTTTTTATTTGTATGATTTCTTATTAAACTTTGTACAATGTAAAGTTTTTACTGATGATGTTGTCATCTTCCATACACAAACAGATGTCCACTTTTGTTTTTACTTAATTTTGTCATTCTTGAGATTGATGCAAGTCAGAAAAACAAATTAAGAGGTTGAAGTGTTTGTCCTTGTAGTGACTTATTTTTAGTTTAGCAGTAAAACTAACTTGGCCGTACTGATTCTTTGTTTATGTCTCCATTAGCACCTTAATCTGAATACCTTTTATTTTACCTACAAAGTCTCCAGTTACAAGAATAGATGCATGAATAAGAGGCTTTCTTTAGAATCATGGAATAGGGTAGTAGCACTGTTATCAATGGAATAGGGTAGTAGTACTGTTACCAATGGAATAGGGTAGTAGCACTGTTACCAATGGAATAAGGTAGTAGCACTGTTATCAATGGAATAAGGAACAGTGCTACTACCCTATTCCATTGATAACAGTGCTACTAACCAATGGAATAGGGTAGTAGCACTGTTACCAATGGAATAGGGTAGTAGCACTGTTACCAATGGAATAGGGTAGTAGCACTGTTATCAATGGAATAGGGTAGTAGCACTGTTACCAATGGAATAGGGTAGTAGCACTGTTATCAATGGAATAGGGTAGTAGCACTGTGATCAATGGGATATGGTAGTAGCACTGTTATCAATGCAAATGAGTAGCCATATTGCAAAGAAAATGGGCTTGATGATCATACAGATAAAGTCAGTGTAACTGATGATGGAGTGAAAAATAAATGTTCATGGACTTGGTTGGAGATCTTAAAACACCTAGAAATTATGTGCCATTCATGTTTAATTAATTTTATTGTAAGATGGACATGCCAGGGAAGGTCTTGCATATAACATGCAACAAGCTCATAGCATATTGCTCTCAAAGGGCTTTTGATTTAGAACATGGCAAAAATTTCAAAGAAACACAAAGATAAATTAGCACTGAGAAAAATAATTTTTACCCTGCTGTGGATGTGGGAGTAATGTTTTCAAACTCCACATCTCTTCTGTTGTTTTCAATTTGCGTGGAATTTTTGCATTTATAAAGGAACTATAATATTTAAATTTCTGATGAAGTCTTTTTTAAAGTTAGTTTGAATTTTTTGCTCCTTATTAAGAGTTGTGAGTGCTCATTAAAAATGCTCAAAGCTTAAATAAAGAAAGTCATTTTCTACATTTTGAAATTGTAAAATCACTTACCTCTAGACTCCTGTGGGGCCTACACATCCCAGCCTTTTCACTATATTTATCCCATTTACCATTCTTACACCTGTGGTGACTGTTATCGTGTATTTATGATGAGCTAATGAAATGATGAATATCTGTAATTTGAAATTTTATGTTTTAGAATGACTGCTTTTTTCTTACTCTGTTCAAAGATAGTGTGTTAGTTTTATGAGAATAAATATGTGTTCTATTACCAGTGTGAGAACCTTTAATGAATTAACAAATGTGAACTCTTGCAGGGAAGCAGGACCAGATGAGTATATTCATGAAAGTCGAAACCTACTTAGAATAAAAGACTCAAGTAAGCAATAATTTTATGATTCACCAAGAGGATTAGAAACAAGAAGAGAAATCTGCTTTTATCTTGTATTTAATAACAAGAATGGATTTATATCAACTGTTTATGAAAGTTTATACATATATTCTGTTACTTTGATTTATGGATGTAAAGAAACTTTTAGCTACACTTCTTGTCTGATCAACTGAGAATTATTTTCTATAATGTAGTCTTGGTTTATGTGCAGTAACATTTAATTGACTCAATCATCGGTAATATGTATTCCAGCTTGTTTGCTAACCATTGTGTGCAAATAAAATAACAGCAAGGTTATATAAGGTAATAATTTATTCTTACTAATTGAGTTGATACGAAATAGTCAAAAAATTTTTAAATTATATTTTCTAGATTTCCGAAATAGACTCTTGAAGTTTGGGCGTTTGGCTGTCGTGTCTGCTCTGTCTGAGCTCCCTGCATCTCAGCATGAGCCTAGCTCATTTACTGTAGATGTTGGGTTTGTTTTGGTAAGTTGTTCAGTGGCAAAAAACATTGTAAATGATAAGTAAATTGTACATGGTATAGATAAGTTTAAAACAAGAGGGAATCCTCATTAGCCAATTTGATTTTATTACTCATTAGGATCTCTACCATCCTACCCTCAAATTGAAATTCCTTTAATCAGGATTAGAGTAAATTAAGCTATGAGACCTTGGGTGTGGTCAAATATATCAATCGAAAGGGTTTGACCTCCTGAGTCCAAAATTGTAATTAAATCTCAAATTGGTCAAGAGATGACAGAGCTATGAGCTAAAATGTTTGTACTTGAGAAACTCAGAGCCATTCTATAAACCACTATGATGCGGCTAAAAAATAACTTAAGGTCAATTAACATATTGAAAACTGACAATATAACAAGCCCTGAAATAATTAAAACATAGTTACTGGAAACCAAAGATGTTGTGACACGTGCAATTACTTTTATTTCAATGTGCTGTATGCTCTTTTTACCATGTACCAGTTTTCTATTTTTGTCCATGTTTTAGTTATATAACCTTTAAAAATCAGAATACCCAAAGTAAAGCAGTTTGTTTTTCTGTGGTAACAGGTTTGTATACATTGTTCTTAAACTTTTGTTATTGTTTGTTTCAGCCTACATTGATGAACTTTACAGTGAGTGGAGTCTTTAGAGGAGGTAAGACTGAGTGAACCATAAAAACTCTTTCTCTCTCTCTAGTGTTGCAAGTATATTCAGTTATTTAACACTTTTACAATAAATTGCTGTTATATTGCCATTCAGTTAAACGCCTGTTATCTATGTTATAAATGTATCAAAAGAAACGTTTTTAACCCTTTCCTTCCCAGGATATAGTATTTCTCCAGGTTTATATTTTTTATCAATAAGCATTAATAACAACTGTCACCAAGTCTGAAATGCAGACATTGCAAATACATGACATGATATCCATGATACCTTTTGAATTTTTTTTGTCAACTTATGATTTATGTTACAATCAAAACCACTGCATAACATAGCTACTTATGATTTATGTTACAATCAAAACCACTGCATAACATAGCTACTTATGATTTATCTTACAATCAAAACCACTGCATAACATAGCTACTTATGATTTATCTTACAATCAAAACCACTGCATAACATAGCTACTTATGATTTATCTTACAATCAAAACCACTATGTAACACAGCTACTTATGATTTATGTTACAATCAAAACCACTACGTAACATAGCTACTTATGATTTATGTTACAATCAAAACCACTACGTAACATAGCTACTTATGATTTATGTTACAATCAAAACCACTACGTAACATAGCTACTTATGATTTATCTTACAATCAAAACCATTATGTAACATAGCTACTTATTATACCATTGTGCATGCATTTTACTTTTTATACATATACCAGATAAGACCTAATAATCATACAATAGGTCATAGTGTTGAAAGAAATAGTTTGATACAAATTTGTCTGAAGGACTTAAACTAATATAAATAGATAGTATTTATCTCGCTCTATTTTATACATAAAACTTAATTATGGCCTACATATAATAATAGAATAATGTGTTCAAAAAGAACTTATCATTGACCAATGGTAAAGTACGATCTTAGCGTTCGTTGATGGATTTGCCTCAGACTCGAGTTTCAAAACTAAAATGATTGTGTATAAAAAAAAATAACCAATTAACCAATGGTAAAGTACGATCTTAGCATTCGTTGATGGATTTACCCCAAACTCGAGTTTCAAAACTAAAATGATTGTGTATAAAAAATTAACTTCCAAGACAGTCACGTTAGGAAAATAAATAAATACACAAGGAAATGTTAATTTATAACATTTCAATGGCTTACAAATAACAGAATACTGTAACTAAATGGCAGCAGAAAGTCCCATATCACCCACATACTCATCAAGTTAAGTTGAGGTACAATAACAACTTTTAAGTTTTTGTGTATCTGTGTAAGGGACGAAAAAACTTGACAGTAAATAGACAGAGAGAAAGAAAATAATCCAAGGTTTCAGGTGATATATTTACGATTTTGACAACAAAAAATTTATAATAAAAAAAGACATGCAGAAAGTTGAATTTTACAGTTCTTGAAGACACCAACTTAAAAAATTCATTGTTTTCAAACTATTTTAGCTAAAAATAAGCTCCATAGTTGTTGAATATATACATATTTCTTGCTTTCTTTTGTATATTGACAAGTTGTCTGTGCACAGGCAGGAAATTTAATGATTTCCACCATCTGAATAAAAAATCCACCAGAAGGTTGAATGTTGAAAATTAGGGTTAGAGTTTCGATTTTTTTTTAAACTTTAATTCAAGACAAAATATATTGATAAAACTTACATCTAAAGAAATGTTAAGTCTGAACATTTCTGTTATAATTTTATTTTGGAGGAAATGCGTGGGGATACGTAATATTTCAAAATTTGATGCTGTCATTTTGTTCAGGTAATACCCAGATTGCCAAAGCTGAAAAGGGCTAGGATTAATATTCTTTATCAGTCAGTCTAAAATATATCACATGGAATCATTAAACTAAAAATAATTTATAAATTGTGTATATTACACATAGTAATCACATTATAAGTCAGTTGTATATTTATGGTTGGTGCTTATTTCAAATATGTAAAACCTGGACTTTTAAAATGTTTCTAAAAGTTTTAAATTTGATAAATTTTACCGTCAAAATTTTACTTTAAAACTGCTTTTTAACCATTGAATGCTTTGATTACTTCTTGTATTTAAATATTCACATTTCAGTTGATTAAAATTAAGTGCAGAGTTTTAAATAAGTGTTCTTTCACTTGACGGACGTGCCAAACTGTCCTAGTGAGTGCTCTGTTGCATTGGTTCTCAAATTGTTGTCTGTGGTCCACTGGTGGTTAGGAAGCTGGCCCAAAATGCAAGTCACATGAAAATCACTGTCAATTTTCCCATTAATTTTGATAAGTTTTTTGTGGTGGCAAGCAAAAGTTGGTGAGGTAGGACTAGTAGATGGTCGTCGATCAAAAAAAGTTTAAGAACCACAACTGTGTTGATACGAGACTTTAGTTAGTTGTTCTTATTAAGGTCCTACTCTTTCTTCTTCTTTATTAGTGATAATTTCAAGTTTCTTAACCATGAGTAACAACCAATAAAAAGCTGTCTTAAGACTATGTTGATTTATTTTTCAGGTGTGCTAGCAAGCTATTTTCTTTTCTTTTAAATTTTGAAATGAATATGATTTTAACATAACGTCTTTTTTTTTCTTCTACTTAATAATATTATTATTGTGAATGAACTTTGCTTTACTTAGCGAGAAAGAAAAAAGATGTAATGAAATTTAAGGCGTGTATTAAGAAGAAATTCTAAATTCAAAGTAATGTTAGAAATTCACATTCAATAAAGAATTCAGCAGTATACGTGTAAAGGACAGATATTATAGTGCTTCTGATTTAAATAAACTCAATAATTTCTAATTACTTTAAAATGAGTTTTAAACTTTTGAGTCCGTCTTTATTCTTAAGTGTCTTTAACTTAAGTGCCCTAACCCATGTGAATGTAGTATCATCTTAAGTCACGTGTAACTCTATGATGGAGATCTGTCTACGGTAACTAAAAAGAAAGCCCTGTCTGTATGGTAACCCTTGTCTTAGCTGATGAATTAGGTAACGTAATCTGATATTTTTGCACCGTGTTTAATTTTATTAGTGTTATGAAGAGTTGATTAACCTGTCTCTGAATAGGTATGTACAGTGTGACTTATGTCATGAAACTGTGACTTTTTTAATGGTACCTCTCACTGTAGTTAATTCTGAGTTTTTGTCCATTTCTTCAGTGTATGAAAGTAATAGCTTTAGTTGAAATGATTTCACTAAACTGTTAGAATATAGTTGAAATTAGTTGTTCTAATGCTACTACTCCAATATCTTTGTTACCTTTCAGCTTGCTCTCTAAATATACTAAATTCTCATCATAATTGTTTTATAGTTGGAAAATCGAAACACAAACAACAGTTGTGGACATTCAGTAGAGCTTTTGTTGTTGTTCCTCAAGGTCGTGGGTAAGGGTTTTTCTGTGTTATTTGTTTTATTCTTCATGTCCAAAAAGTAGGGGGTATGTGAAAGTGATTATGTTGCTGTGACACACACGTCATTATTTTAGCAATAGCGATATTGTTATGTTCAGTTAATATCAAGATTATATGTTTTCCATTTATGAAACTTTATTCCAGAGTTATATACCACAGTTAAAGGCAGTGTGTAATACTTTCTGAAGTTACTATGTTTTCATAAGATGTCATAGAAACATTGAAATACGGCAGTTTCAGTTAAAATAGCATGATTACCCTAACTCAGGAATAGTTCTCTCGGTCCTTTATTTGTAATGTATCTTTTAATTCAGGTATAGGAAAAACCACAACTTTGACATAAAGGTATTGAAGCTGAATTGATTTTGTAAAAGTATTTTATATAAAAAGATTCACCATTTGTGTGTTTAATTTGGAGAGTAGTGCCAAATTTTTAATCACAGTTAGTATCTTAGTTTGTCATTTTATTTTTATTTTGTGGCATTTAAAACTGGTCTATTATTACTTGTTAAATGTTTGAGTGTTGATAATATCTTATTTTTTATAGGTTCTCAGTTGTTAATGACAACTTATTCATTTCTAACGCCTCTCACAGCCAAGTAGAGGTAAGATGTAGAAAGTACATTATTTGTAAGCAATTTAGATTCATTGTATTTAAAAATACATTTTGATACATGTATTAATAATACTTATTTCATTTCTGAGAGAAAAACATCTCTCAACGTATCAATTCATGGATAAACAACTTTTAGTTATTTGTGTATTATTGTTATTCATAACTTTCCCTGGTGGAACAGCAGTAAGTTCATGGAGTTACAACACTAAGGTCCGAGGTTTGATTCCCTGTGGTGGACACAGCGGATAGCCCAATGTTGCTTTACTCTGAAACAAACAAACAGTAAAACAGTAAAGGGCTTTATTGTGATACAGTTTCAAGTGTGAACCATTTAATATACTGAATACCAGAAAATGATTAAAAACTATGGTAATATGCTGTCTTCTCTTTTGGTTTTCATAGGCTTACAAGCTAACTCCAACACCAAGCCCCATTTCTAGTCCAGGTCCCAGCACAGAAAAATCTCTCATTGAAAAGAAACAGATGGTTGAACAATTCATGAGACAGACTGGAATGAATGAAAGTTTTTCAGCCAAGTGAGGAATCTTTTTCTCTTAGTTACACATGTGGTTGTTTGTTGAATTTGTCTGTGACATAGATATTTTTGATTTTATATAATAGTAATATCTGATCATGTAATTCTTTAAACTTCAATCACTTTCTAAAAACTTCAGCTTTAACAAACATGTTTGAATATTTTTGTAAAATATTCTTCAAAAAGCTTTTCTCGTCTTAAAGAAGAAAAAGTTAAACGCGTCATATTAACAATCTGTGGATACTTTTACCCGAAGTAATAATACTAAGAAATGAGTTTTTTTTATTTCCACTTGAAGAGAGACAACTTAGTCCAATTAACATTATTAAACTTCTGCTGAAAAACTTTAGTAAAATATAAACGTTATGTATTTGCTTACGTAAGTGATATTGTTATAAGATATTTACCAGAACCTAATAATTTCCATTACTTATGTACTCTTTTACACAGTGAAGTTAATGAAATGGGGAAGGTATAATACTATGAAAAATTTTAATATGTAGTATCATATATATGGTTAAAATGATATATTTCAATTAATTAGCAGCTTTTTTGTTTTCTGCCTATAATTTAAATACTGTAAATGTTTCAATAAAGTTTACCATTTGTCTGTGACAGGTGCCTGGAAGAAAATGAATGGAACTACCAGAAATCTGCGCTGGTGTTTAATGAGTTAAATGTAAGTTACCATAAAATAAATATCTGGGATTTTATATTTGAAAGTTTTAGTAAAATTCAACATGACATTTCAATAAAATTTAATTTCTTTGCCAGCTTAAAATGCTTGATTTTAGGAGTTACCTTATTTAGTAAAGGTATTGTGAAATTTAAAATAATTTTCTGTCCAATTTCAGATGAGCAGTCTCATACCATCGGAAGCATTTCAAAAGTGAAAGAATCGCATTGTTTCCGTACAGGTTGTCTGTTGGGGGTGTTTATACCTTGCAGCATTATAGTTACTCCGTCATGTAAATCAGATTGTTTATTAGTGTAAGCCCAGTCAACATTTGAAACTAAAGTATTTTTGCAGAGTTTTGAGTACACAGTGGATCATAAGATACTGGGATTGAGAGTTCTACATTTGACATGTAGAACTGTGTATTCGAAGAAGTATTGTTGGTAAACAATAAGGAACAGCTACATGTACAGAAAAAATCAGACTTTGAGGAAACAGGTGCGTGCAAGGAATTTTAATTGTAGATCACACAACAAAAGGCAGTTAGGTTTTAATTCAACTTTGAATGGATCTGGGGGATTGCTATTGAGAAAAATGAAGTAATGTTTCTGATAAGAGTACAGCTCTCACCTTTATTGCAGTGAAGTGCAACTGTGTGAATAATAAATGTAAAATCTATGTGTTATATTTCTGAGTTTTGTAACCAAACAACAATAAGAAACAGATATTGTAATGTTGAATGACTTCTGTAATGCTCTGTAAACACAAACGTTTTTAACTCCAGAAATACTAACCAACTCTATTCAGTGGTAGTATTTCAACCATAATTTGTGCTGAACACCTACAGCTGTATTTATCATGTAAAACAATTGTAAATGTCAGGTCACCTTTATTTGTTTGTAATAGTATTAACCACTTTAAAAAGATTACTTTGGAAATTTGTCAACACTAAGTATAGAATGTTAGCGTGGGACAACAAAACTGACAGCAGACAAACTACAGAAAACTTTGTAATGAAAGATATATGCCAGTTAATATGAGAAAGGTGGAAAGTCCACTCTAGCCAGTGAAGAATATATAAAACTGTGTTTAGTTTCAACTTTGGTATGCTATTATTAGTAGGAGTTTATAAAAAGTATTTCATCATTGGCAGGACTGCATGGTTATTGTTAAATCGTAGATATGTATTTTGTTTTTTTTGTACTTTCACGTAACATTTAGCCTTAGAATTGTGTAATATCTACTTTTTTTTTATTCTTTGGGGTAAAGAGCAGTGGGGGGGGGGGGGCTTGGAGTAACTTAGTTATATATCAAAATGTAATGAGACAGAAAACGAGTAGTTTTTCTGTGTTCGGATTGTAAAAGGTTCAAACACCTGGTGTGTAGGGTATGAACTACAAATCAGATGATTGAACTCATTCAATCTCATCACAGAAATATCTGATCCTTCTGGTGATCTTTTGTGATGAATTTAAAAGATTCTTTTTGTTTTTAAGTCTTCTTTTTAATTTATTAGAATGCCTTGTTTATTGGAATTAAATAGAATTACAAAGTGGATTTTTTTTTTAAATAAAACTTGCCCTAAAACTACTGTAAAATTGTAAACTTTTAACTGTATAGAATATTTCTTCCGTTGTCTGTATTTCCTTTTTCAAAGATAGATAACACTAATTTGTAATTAAAATTTTTGTGGAAAAAAAAAAGTCGCTTCTCCTACAATAATGGGATTGTACTGTTAATTACGGTATTTTTACATGATTGTAATATGATAAAGTAAAACAGGGTTGTAAAAACAAAACAAACTTAACACTTTTGGTCTTTAAATGCTAGCGGCTGATGTTGGAAAATAAAATGGTTGATATGAGCAGAAAATCAGTACTAAGATTGTTGATAGAAGACAGTACAATCGATGGGTTTACCCAAATAATTAGAAATAAGGGTTTAACCTTTTTTTGACACTAGAAGTTGTGGAATGGGGAAATGCTTTTAATTTGTTTGGAATGACTTTGTTTAAAAAAAAAAAAGCATAGTTGTGATAGAAAATACTTAAAGCTTTATGAGTCTGAAATATATATTTTTGAAGCTCTCATGTTTTTAATAAATTGACTTTTACTTTGAGGCACTTTAGATATTTAATTTCATAATTTTTAAGATTTCCCCAGTGTAATTTGTTGTTATTGAAGTGTTTGGTGTATCATCTGTCATCACAGACTTAAGTAGAGATCATGAAAAACTGTTAATCACTTAACAGTACAGAAGACATTCCTGTCAAATATAAATATAGTTAACTAAGGGTTGCACGGACAGCTTACCTAGGTGAGTGATATGTAGTGATGGTGAAAAGTATCTTAATACATTCTAAACTTCTTACTACTCAGTCATCTAGGTAGGTCATCTGTACATTTCTTAGTTAACTGAGTAAAAGTAACAAAAATGATTGATATTTTTTAAATGTACAATATTTGGAAATGGAATAAGTCTTAAAAAAATCTTTATACCTCGTGTATACAAAGTTTTAACAATGTTAACAGATTAGTTGGGCTAACAGATTTATTTCAATTTTTCTTTTGTAAAACAGAGTACAAATACTGCCTCGTTAATCGTTTCTGATATTATTACTTCAAAAACACTAGTTGTGGGAGTAAAACTGATTATTGGTGTATAGATATTAATGTATTTTTGGGGATGGGGGGAATGTTGACTGATGTTACATATAATTTTTTTTCTTTTTAAGTTAATATTATTGAAATTATTAGTTAAAAGAATACCCAGTGTACATAAATAAGATGTGCAAAAATATGCTCCGAAAATTGATACAGAGTTTGTCAAATAGAGTGCATTGTGTTCCTCACATGTGCATCTGCATACTTTTAAACTATGCTCGTCTACATTGTTAACCAATGACAGTTGGGAAAGAACCCAGTAGTAACTCTCTTTCATTCATGGGTGAGTCCGAGTGTCACCACACAAGTAGTGTGTGGGGGGTTCAGCTTTTTTGTAAGGAAAGGTTACCCAACAGGAGCATCACTTAGATGGTTCTAAAAGAATCCAGATGTAAAAGGTAAGTATAAAACCAGAATATACTGGTACTTCATACAAAAATGGATACCATCTTGGGAATAGGCTGGGCTGAACCCCATGTTTTACTGTCCTTGATTTCTGTGAGGAATCATGTAGAAACTGTAATCTGTCACCAAAAGATGTAAATACACTTTTCATCGCCAGTAGAAATACACCTGTGATTATGTGGCAGTCACAGCGTGCTCCTAGTCGCACATTTGGAAATTATAACCACTTCGTTTGTCATAAAACTACAGTAACAGTTTGAAGTGTTCCACTAACTGGATATTTTTACATATCTTGTATATGTACACTTTGAGTTTCTTCGATCAAAGTCTGCTCAGTTGTAGTATTTATTAATTTGATTTATGTCAACTTAGTATGCTTTACAAGAGTCTGAATTATCTGAATTAACATTGTATGAGCCCATAATTAAATACTTCAGTTGTGGGTGTGGTATGTATGAAAATATTACAATCCCTAAATTTCATTTTATTTTATGCTATAAAGGTTTGAGAAATTATGCAAAACTGATATTTTAACACCTGTACCATTTTCAGCAAATTTAATGTTGTTCAGGTAATTCTCTCCCTTGTAAGTGTACCTATTTAGGATAAATTGGGTTAACAAATGTGAGATTCCTAGGTTCCCCACCATTTCTCACAGAAGACTTAACACGTTAATGATAATCTTCAAGTTTCCCCCTCCATGTTATATTGTTTAAAAAAATGTGTGTTTGAGGTTACATTCTTATTCAGATTAATTTCATTATCACAAGTATTATTAAAGTACCAATACTAATTTCATTAGCAATTATCACAAGTATTATTAAAGTACCAATACTTTGGAAGAATATCGTTTAGTTAGTTTTTGACGTTTCATCGTTCTTTTGATATTTACATGAGACGTTTGATTCAGTCTCACAATGTGACCTTTATTTGAAAGATAAAAGAGTATCAATTGCATTAGCATTATGTTTCGTACCTGATTAATATCAGTAGAATCTGTTTATTTCTCTGGCTAGATAAAAGTGTGTAATAATAAGTTATGAATGTGACTAAGGTTATATTCACATTCTTTGATTACTTTACATAAATCAACACGTCAGTTTGTGCTGTAATAAACGATTTGTTGTTCTGCTCTCATCAATGGTTGTTAAATGTGTATATGTTTAAAAGACCATTAAATGTGTTTTATTTCCTAAAATACAGCAGTTACTTTTATGTCATGTTCGTCCAGCACGTGGTTTTTGATGTTCATGCATGAAACCTTCCGCACTGTGTACAGGAGAATTCTGGGTTTGGGGCAGCTGACTGTAGATTTTGTTGACGAGACTTGGAAAGACGCTGCTTGGGTTCTGCATCCTTGATGCGGCGAGATTCAAAGACAGATGTCCAACTGTGAACTAACTTACGCCACGACTTGAGCTACCAGTTCTCAGTTATCAATGTTACAGAGTTTCATTGTTGATTTCAAGCAGTCTTTGTACGTTTTACGTTTCCCACCTTGTGATCCATTTGTTCACATGCTGAAACCACGGGTCATAATATTTCATTTAACGATTCCTCTGTTATTATTACAGGATCTTTAGGCCTCGAACTCCACATTTATAGCTAAAAACCACCCTACTATTAACGACTCACAAAGCTCTTTAGATCTAAAATTATTCTAAATTTGCGCACTTAAAACTCAACTGTTTGAAATTACTTTATAATTATCGCCAGATGTTAGTTTTTTTTTTTTAAATAAATTTTTCATTTAAATTTTTTATTATACACGGGGTAAAATATAAATGGAGGTCAGTTGCTAGTTGGAAAATTTCTGGCAAAAAGGTACTGTGTTTATAATTTTGTGGCAATAATTTTCTCGTTACCTCAGAAAAATAGAGGGATTTAGTTCCTTAATAATAGCCACAAATATTAAAAATAATTTAAAATAGGCATTGTCTTATAATGAAAAAATGTTCAGTTTTTTGAATTTTTACAGAAGTATAAATCGTCAATAATGTTCTTAAAGTACTGTTACATTTTTTTTGTAAAAACATTGACACTACAACAAATGAGTAAAAAAATGAAATGTTTTATGAACTAGTGAAATATAATGAACGTTATCAAATTAATCTATAAATTCCATCAGAGTTAAAACTTTAGAATATATTGAAATTTTTGAGGAAACTTCACAGTAAGGTTACTTAAAACATAATTCCTAACATCTTGTAGTGGATAAATTAACCGTTTTATTGATTGGGGTACAGGCCGAAGAGTGGCGTTGTAGGCACTAAAATTGTAATGTATTACTAGTGTCAACAGTTTTGGGGATAATTCGTTATTGGTTGATTGACTGTGACGTGACGTTACATGATTCGTCAATAGTTAGCGCATTTTATTTGTCAGATCTCGATGGATAATTTTTTATTAATGCAACATCTGTGGATGCATATTGATTTTATTATTTATGTAAAATGGTGGTTTTCGGTATTCCGTGGTGCGTGTGTGTATATATATATATTGTCAAAATTGACCCATCAGTTTATCAGAAACATTTGAAAGTCATTGAATATGGTATTGTATTGATCGTTTGATATTCTTTCAAAGTAGCGTACTTAGAGTTGCGCATGCTTAACGATTCTGATCAAATCCGCAGGAAAAAGGGGTGGAACGAGCTATGCATTACAAAACACTCAAGCTTCTTTATTAAAATGGACGAATGAATATTGTATAACTTTATGCTTCACAATAAAGAAATAATTTACCATACTATATGTAAAACATAATTAAATAAGTATGTGATATTTACTACGGTATTTATCCAAGTAAACAATGTAAACTTTCGCTACACCGGTAATAGATTACGCTAATTTCTAAAAAAAAAAAAAAATCCAGGCCTGGCATCATGTGGTTAGGGCACTCGACTCGCAATCTAATATACATAGGAGACGAAAAAAAGAAAGAATATTTTGACCATATTTATTTATATCATTTTAAAACTTTAAGGTGAAGTTTTAGGTGATAAATTTTCTGATGTTAAAATCAATTTCAACAGTAACGAATGAACTGTTGAAGGTGCTGTTAAACAAATGGAGAATGGTGACAATGAAAGATCTAGTAATCTTGTTACTAAGAAACAGCTGATCGTAAAATATGATTCCTAAACAATGATGTTTGAGTTCAACTCTTTTAATGTTTCTTTGCTTATTTCACAATGTAAAGTTGGCTTCCAAAATGGCGGAAAACTGCATAAAACAATCAACTCAAACTCACTCGGATCTAAACACGAGATAAATAAAAAGATTTGCAACTTCTTAAAAAAATCAATTAACGTGAGTTTTCACAGATTTAAGATAGCAGGAATCGTACATCCACACGGCTTTTTGCTCGCTTTTTTCATCCGTGGGGCGTCATAAATCTACGGTCAATCCCACTATTCGTTGGTAAAAGAGTAAGCAGTGGTTGATTAACTGATTTCCTTCTTGTCTATCACTGCTAAATTAGGGACGGCTATCGCAGATAACCCTCATGTAGAGTTGCGCAAAATTAAAAACAAGCCAAACCAATCATTTTCTTTTTTACAACACCAAAAATACTCTACACCATCGTAGGTAGGCCAAAATGTTTTTACATTCTACCACAAGAAAATAAATGTATTAAAAACATTTCAACTACCGTCGTAGAGGGATTTTTTGCTTATGGTATAATTATCAAGCAGAGTAGGTACATCAAATTGGAACTTGAATTTAAAGTCTGTTTAAAATTATTCATTCAACAGACAATTATGCGATTATGAAGAGAATACCCTAAGACCTAACACCAGCGCTGGCAAAACTTTAAAACCAATCATATAGAAGTTGAATGATAAAGTATCACACATTTTTTTTTACCTTAAAATGTACATTTTCAAGTTTCCGAGCCGAGTTTAAAGTATGATAAAATTCTAACGAATCATCTCACCTCAAACCACGTGACATGTTTTCTTCAAAGACTGTTAGCAGAACAACAACAATAACAACAACAAATAAATTAAAAAAAAAAAACAATAATAAAATTAAAAAAAAACGAATTCCGCGATTTCCAGTAGTTTTTATGTGATATTATATCGCAAAATCACTGGTAACATTTAGAGAATCCGCTAGTTATGTGTGATATTATACTGCACTAAGGCTGATAACTGTTCCCCACATCTCTCGTTATGTTGCTAGTATATTAAAGGTTTCCTGTAAGAAGAGTATAAAAGCATCTCTGGCATACACTTTGCGTGCTGCACGATGCTTCAGTACGAAGCTATTTTCCTCGTACACTTTGGGTGCTGCACGATGCTTCAGTACGAAGCTATTTTTCTCATACACTTTGGGTACTGCACGATGCTTCAGTACGAAGCTATTTTTCTCATACACTTTGGGTACTGCACGATGCTTCAGTACGAAGCTATTTTCCTCGTACACTTTGGGTGCTGCACGATGCTTCAGTACGAAGCTATTTTCCTCGTACACTTTGGGTACTGCACGACGCTTCAGTACGAAGCTATTTTTCTCACACAATTTGGGTACTGCACGATGCTTCAGTACGAAGCTATTTTCCTCATACACTTTGCGTGCTGCACGATGCTTCAGTACGAAGCTATTTTTCTCACACAATTTGGGTACTGCACGATGCTTCAGTACGAAGCTATTTTCCTCATACACTTTGGGTACTGCACGACGCTTCAGTACGAAGCTATTTTTCTCACACAATTTGGGTACTGCACGATGCTTCAGTACGAAGCTATTTTCCTCATACACTTTGCGTGCTGCACGATACTTCAGTACGAAGCCATTTTCCTCAGTATTGTTGGCCCATCGGATTAGCTCGGTTTCTAGTAACTCAAATCCTTGGTCGAAACGCGATTTATAATGACTAGGCTGCTATAAAGCGTTTTGACAAGAATAGGCTTATAGCATGCTCAGCTGGCCCGATGGATAGGCTTATAGCATGCTCAGCTGACCCGATGGATAGGCTTATAGCATGCTCAGCTGACCTGATGGATAGGCTTATAGCATGCTCAGCTGACCTGATGGGTAGGCTTATAGCATGCTCAGCTGACCTGATGGGCTCTGTTAGAAGTTAATATTAATTGATCAAAAGGCCGGCGTCACTGTAATTATGTAATATCACACAAACTACCAATCTACAATCCTGCTTGCTGGAAAATGACTTCATTTTTTTGACAAAGTCATTTATTAGTAAGTTAAGAAATAGATAAAACTTTGGTTAACCTTTGAAGGAAGAGAGAACAATAATGACACTAAAGACCAATCTATTGTATTTTTCGGAATATAAGACGCACCCTTATTTTGAAGACAAAGTTTTGTGGACAAAAAGCTACA